CACTTTTAGGGTTGAGGGGTTACGGGTTAGGAGTCTAGATTTAGGGTTGAGGGGTAAGGGTTTAGGAGTCTAGATTTAGGGTTTCGGGGTTTGGGGTTAGGAGTCTAGATGTAGGGTTTAGGGGTAAGGGGTTAGGAGTCTAGATTTAGGGTTGAGGGGTTAGGGGTTAGGAGTCCACTTTCAGGGTTGAGGGGTTAGGAGTCTAGATTTTCACCATACCCATCACCATCGCCACCATCATCACCATGGTCTCCTGAGGATGGCGGTAGAAATCAACTTCACATTTTCCGGAGGCCTCTTGTCTGCTCATCAGGGTCGGTTTAGGGTTTAGGGTTTAGGGTTTCGGGTTCGAAATTTCGGGCGTTTCGGATCTTTTTGTCTAACTGTCCTTGGTCTCAGCGTCAAACCCAAACGAAGCCGAAATTTCTGCCCCAAGGCCCAGAACTCCGAAGCCCTAGACAAGGCGCTTGACACCCGACACCCTGCGCAGCAAATCTGAGATCACTGGAACCCACCCTAAACCCTAAACCATAAACCCTAACCCCTAAATCCTAAACCCTAAGCCCTAAACCCCAACCCCTAAACCCTAAACCCGAAGCCCTAAACTCCAATCAGTCGGTCCGAGCGACCCTCGGCAGTTGTGCGTTGCATCCGAGGTCGCGGGCGCTGGACCGGATGAGCAGGACCGCGACCTACTTATGGGCTGCGAATAACTACGTAAATTTATATCCAGAGTTGATAGCATTACAATACAACATATTACTACTGCAAGCAGGAAAGCAGTTAGTGTATGGTGCAGTACATTACACTACATTTCATCGCATCACGTTTCGTGACACTACATTTGGCTACATTACACTACATGACACGATATGACACTACACTACATTGTCACTACATCACAGTGCATCAGCTCCATATCAGTGCACTGAGTTGGATGTCGTTGCAGTGCATTGTGTTGCACTGCATTGCATTGCAATTGCATTGCATCACATGATTTTCTTGGCCTCACATGACATTCACGTGACTGTACATGACATTGCATGACACTACATGGCATTACGGGGCAGTACATGGCGTTGCATGGCGTTACTTGACATTGCGTGGCGTTTCATGACGGTGTATGGCCTTAAAGTATATGCCTGTCGTTACAGTGCCTCACATGACATCACATCGCATCGCACGACCATACATCACTCCACGGAAGTACAGGACAATACATCGTCTTACGGGTCATTACATCACATGCCGTTACATGCCATTGCATGACTTACAAAACATTACATGCAAGTAAATGGCACACGTTATGTTGCATTGTGATACAGTGCATTACACGCGCAAGAATGCACTGAATGCATTAGATGAGCAACAATGCAGTACAATGAAACACTGCAAGACGTTTCACTACGATACGACACAAGTACGATATAGTACAATACGATGCAATACAATGCAATACAAGATATTTAGTACAACACAATGCAGTTCAAGATACGACAGAACAGTATGATACTATACGGTACAATACAAGAAGTACAGTGCAATGCGCTACGAAACGGCACTACACCGTCAATACCATATACAAAAGGCTGTACTACACGAATCAACATGGCATACCATACAATGCAGTACAATGCATTACATACAGTGCAGTTGTTTCCGGATCCGTTTCGTGCAGGACAGGAATGCATGCATGCATATGTACATACATGCGTACTCACACATACATGCACAGACACATGCAAGCATACATACGAACAAGCAATCGTACGCACTTGCATAGCATGCGCACACATGCACGCATGTAAGCACATTCAGTCATATATACATAGGTACAGACCTACATACATACGCACATAGACGCATAACAACGGTCACATGTACGTGCATAGAAAAACGAACATACGTACATACATACATACATACATACATACTCGCACACAGCACACATGTCTACATACATCATGGCAGAAGGCCATGTAGGTATGCATGCCTGCATGCATACGTGTATGTATGTATGTATGTATGTATGTATGTATGTATGTATGTATGTATGTACAGCATGTGTTCTCATATAAAGACAGCGAGCGAGAGAGAGAGAGAGAGAGAGAGAGTGGGCGAGAGAGAGAGAGAGATTGGGCGAGAGCGAGAGAGAGAGGGAGATGCACGAACAAGCACACACACACACACACACTCACACTCACACTCACACTCACACTCACACATGCACATACACACAAGCGCCCACATCCACACACACACACACACACTCACACGCACAGACGCACACACACACACAGACATATGCATGAACTGAGAATGGTCGTATGCATGCACACGTATACGTATGTGTTTACATAAAGGTTACAAGGGGTTGTGCCTCAATCGATGCAGGTCATAGCAATAGCAGCAACAGTCATAATAATAGTAGCAATTTCAACCCAACCAGTAACAATCATACTAGTAGCGATCTTCTCGATCGTCTACGCTGGCCTGTTTTCCTTTTAGCACAGGAAGCCTTCCTACAACCCGCCAGGGGAGGCCTCTGCCTCGGATTTCGGTGAGCTTCCGTCGGTGCTTCTTGAGGTTGTTGGGGCTTTGGGGTTCAGGGTTTAGCGGTTTGGCGTTTGATGGTTTTTTTTTGGGGTTTGTTTGAGGGCTTCCAGGGGTTGAGGTTTATTTTTTCAGGCTTTGGGGGCGTTCGGCACTGGGGTCCAGGGTTCAATCGTGCGGTTTTAGGCATAGGCGTGAATTGTGACTTCAACTGTAGGGTGTATTGTAGGGGTTTGTTTCTTGGTATTTATATGCCACTTCGGTTCCATGGACCAATTCTGTAGATAGACCTTAAAACTTAAAACCTTACAACGCTATTTATTATGGACTCTCTACTAGGCATGTTTAGTGGGCAGCCGGGCTCTGTTGCAACTCCAGTTCGGACTGCGAAATGTACGCGATCGGGGGTCCCAGGGCTTCAGGGATTTGAAGGATGTCATGGCTCCAGGGATTGCTGGGTCTTATGGCTTGAGATATTAGGGCTTTAGGATTTATCTGTCCTCCCCCCCGCCCCAGCCCTGACAAAGCATTCAGAGCCTCCGGCGCCACAACAAACGAATCGGAGCCTTTGCAGACCCCATCGATCCCTATGCGACAGCAACCCCGGTCCCCATCAACCGGGACAGCCGAAGCGCAGTCAGAGAACCAGAGAACCAAAAACCTGCAGAGCTCGAGCCCAAGGTGGAGCCCCAAACCCTAAAACCCGGAAATCGGCAGAGGTGAAGGGCCGCGGCTCTCCCGTAGAAGCTGCCGAGGATTCGGGCTAACAGTGTCTCTAAGACTGCTACTAGGGGGTGCTTTAAGGGGACTATAGGGGATTTATACGGGTTCCTTTAAGGGATTTATAAGCTTTAAGGGTTCCTTTAAGGGATCTATAGGGGTTCCTTTAAGGGATTTATAAGGGTTCCTTGAATTAGGGGATCTATAAAGGTTCCTTTAAGGGCTAAGGGGTTCTGGAGGTGTTCTACACGGGATGGGTTTTGGACGGGTCCATATAAGGGTTCTATCGGGCTTCTAGAAAGGTGTGCAAGGGGTTCGGTGGACTCCTGTGGGAGTTTTAGGGCTTTAGCCATGTTGGAGTCGAGACACAGGTTTTTTGGGGCTAGCTTCAACCGTATTCGTAGATTCCGCATGCAGAGGGTTTCACCAGGGCTGTTGGGGTTTAAGTTCAATAAGAGCTTACAGGGGCATTTAGGTTTTGAGCAGGATCTTACAAAGCGCTTCACAGGCTCTTGACGAAGGGTTTGGGGTTGTTCAGAGTCTGCGGGCTGTGTTGGAAACCCTAGACCCCAAACCCTGCTCTTTGGGGATATTTGGGGATCATGGTCCTTTTTTTTTCGGGCTTGACGGGTTTCTTTAAGGGTTAGGACAGGCTAACCCTAAACCCTAAACCTTAAACCCTAAACTCCGGCCTGTGCTCAGTCTACAACCTGCTTGACGTCCAGGGGTTGGGGTCCGGAATATGTAGGGTACATGATTTGTAGATCCGGAGCTCGGCACGAGTTTTTCGAAGAAAGCAGGAGTTCAGGTCTCAAGATTTCAGCTTCAGGACTTGGGTATTTGTCAGTCGGTCCTACACGCTAAACCCTAAAACCCTAAAGCTCTCAACCCCACGCCCTGAAAGCCGTAAACCTGATCCCAAGCAGGAAGAGGCACCCGTTGAAAAGACTGCTACAGAAGCTCGCCGAAACTTCGACAAGAGGCCGGTGGGGATGTGGCGGGAGGTTTACGGGATGTTGGGTTTTGGGGTTTACCCAGACGGCGACAACAACTGCTGCTGCTGCTGCTGCTGCTGCTGCTGCTGCTGCTGCTGCTGCTGCTGCAACAACAGCCAAACAGAAAAACAGCCACTGGAGCAGTAACTGCAACAGAAGAAGCAACACCGTCCAAAACAGCAGCAGCAGCACCAGCAACTGAGCAGCAGCAGCGACGGCAACAGCGACAGGGATGACGACAGCAACAGCAACAGCGACAACAACAACAACAACAATAATTGCTACTACTACTCCTACTACTACCACGAAGACCACTACTACTACTACTACTACTACTACTACTACTACTGCTGCTGGTACTGCTACTGCTGCTGCTACTGCTATTGCTACTGCTACTCCTACTACTACTATTACCACTACTACTACTACTACTACTACTACTACTACTACGGCTACTACTACTACGACGGCTACTGCTACTGCTACTGCTACTGCTACTGCTACTGCTACTGCTACTGCTACTGCTACTACCACTACTACTACCGCCCTGCCACTGCGACTACGACGATGCCGACGACGACGACGACTACTACTACCACCACGACACTACGACAACGACTGCGACCACGCCCACCACCACCAGCAGACCGTCTTCGACTCATCTTCTTCACTGTCATCAGCATCCAACCCCTAAACCCCTATGCCTTGCTTTCTCGCCACGAGTCGAGTCAGGACCGAAACCTGATTCAGCGGAGCCGCCTTCGCCTGGGACGGGTGTCTCCTTTACTCCACCGACAGCTGCAGGAGGCCTTCGCCTGCTGCTCCTTCTTGTTCCCTTAGGTAGTCCTTGTATTTAGTACACACACAGAACCCTTTTCTGATTACCAAGACCCCTGTTTTGCCTGGGGCAGCTCTTGACACTGTCGGCATTCTCGTGCTCGCAAATGTGTGTAGCTGCAAGGATCTACTACTACTACTACTACTCTCTCTCTCTCTCTCTCTCGTGTCATCGATCTCATTGCCAGCAAGTGTGGTGTAGTTCCAGTGCAAACACTACTCGAGTATTGGTCTCGAATTGGCTCCTGCTCCATGACTACTTGCGGTCCTTGCTGATGCTCCGTGTTTCCGTCGCTGCTCCCTCTCATCAGCCCCACAAGCTTCGTCAGATGTACCGTGCTGCTATCCGCTGTGGCCGTCCTTGCGAAGCCCAGCATCCCAGATCCACGTCTTCTGCCGGGAGGGAAACTTCAGCAGGGGTCCACGGGTCTTAGTGCGACGTAAAGTTTTAGACTCTGTGGTCGAGGGTTGACTGGTCCCTGACAGGACGTCTCTTTTCTAGAAGCACGTGGTCGCGTCGAGTACTCCCTGCTGTGCTGCTGGCGGAAGTTGTGCGCAACACCGCTTAGTGACTTGGTGGCTCGGGCTCACCTTCGTTCTGGAACCTATAAGAATGTGAATCAGCGGGTGTCGAGTCGGTGTCGAGATGCCAACATGCCATGCTCAGCAGTTTTCCACTCAAAGTTTCACAATGGCTTTCCCGGAGATAGCACTGACTTTTCCGGAGTTAGCAGTCAAGCTCCCTTGCGTGGCAGTTTGGGCGTGGCTTCTTCCTCGGAGGCCGAGCAGGCCACCAGAATATTGTGATAGAGTAAAACAATATGGCAAGTGTAAACGGTGTAGGGCCCATATGAGGATACTGTTCTATACAGGGCGTTTATGCCTGTACGAGGGCTCCGAACATTCATGAGATTGTGTGGTCATCGCATGCGGCAGGTTCCGATGAGTGATACCCCGAGCTGGGTTTGTCGTAGGAATGAGCATTTTGATTAGAGGATGAATCCACAAGCCCAAACCCTCCAGGTACCTACTATATAGGGCCCTAGGGGCTCTAGTACCCTGTATAGTAGGTACCTGGAAGGTTAGGGGCGCCACCAGCTCGGGCCAGGCGGCGGCCCTGACCGTCGGCCTCCGAACGGTGGCCGTCCGGAGGCTTAGAGGTTTGTCTTGGAAGGACTTCGGTACAGGGATTCTTTAGGTGTGACTTGTCGGGGACTCGGGGTCATGTATGGTAGCACAGGGTCTCTTTTGCATGATGTGCCTTGCGTCGATGTTGTTGTCGTTATCTCATTCTTCTCCCTCTTCCGGCCACCACCACTCCTGCCGCATGAAATGAGGCTGACGACACAGAGGGTGACGAGGTTGTGTTCATGGGCCTGGCGGAAATCTTTCAGGCACCAGGGCGCTTACGGCTGCCACCGCATAGGCCCGTGCAGCATGTGCTGTAAACCGTGTTTTTTCTTGCACTCTGCCGACATGGACGAAGCACAGACATGCATTGTGAATGTGCTTGTCTTGTCATGTTTGTCTTTAGCTGCCGTGATTTCTATTCTCATGATTATCTAGTAGTAAGATGATGGTGATTGTGTTATCATTGCCATCATGTCTAATCAGTCGATTGCTTCGCGAAATTACTGTCAGAAGTAAGGCTACAGAGCATCGTCACGCAATGACCATGACCCTTGCTCTCCTTGTTCTTTCGTCTCTGCTTGCTTACTTGTCTTATCATATACTATACTAAACGATATATAAAGTACTCGTACCTATAACATACAATAATAGAGTTCTCGTGGGATGAATACCTGTTGTTGCACTCGACGCCTTTTTTCCAGGAATATGCGAGTGGTCGGCCAGCCGCGAGGCTAGCTCGGCCGCTGCGCAATGCTCGAAGTCTGGCCTGTGGTTTGAGGGTCACTACAACATAATATACTGTATAATAAGAGACTATAATAAACGATAATATGTATAATAAAATAGCTATGTAATATGATAATGGAGTTCTAGAGGTAGCAGAGTGTTGCGGTCTCAGTCGCAGGAATGATCACATCGCCGCTGCTGCAAGGTCTACGGCTGGCGAAATGGGCGCGGCACTGCCCAAGCCTGCTCACTACGTCGGCATCCCAGGAGTCATGGGCAGGCCGCGGGGGGGATCGCTTTTCTCGTCTCCAGTCACCCGAAACCCTCCCCCTCTCCCCCCGGCGCCCTGGGACGACCGGGGCCCCCGAATCCGGGGACCCGACCCGGACGCGGGTTCTGGGTGCCGGATCCCAAGTTCCGGGTGCCGCGATCCGGAAATCCCGGACCAGCAACAAGCAACAAGCGACAACATGACACAGCAACCAAAGGGGGTTACCAAGGCCAGGCGCTTCCTGCACTTTCTGGCGCAGCGGGTTCTGTGAAGCAGGTCCGCTTCCTTTGGGTGTTATTGTTGGCTGCGGGACTTTTCAGTGCATGAATTTGGGGCTTTCAGAGGCTTGTTGCGGCTTCCAACTGGCGTCTCGGTCTTAGAGTATATTCAGACAGAGTTGTTCAAATTTAAGCTCATGTGGTGTCGGGACTTCATAATTTCAGCTTGGGTGCGAGTTGAGTGCGTCGGCCATTGAAGTCCTAAACCCTTGAGAGCCTGAAGTGGTCCAGGCCAAACTTCACAGGTTCAGGGCCATTACGCGAACCACGACGACGACAAGGGCTACCACCACCCGAACGACCGCCTACTCCTACTCCTACTCCAACTTCTGCCCCTACTAGTTAGCATTACTTCTTCCTACTACTGCTACGTACTGCGACAGCAACCACTACCGCTACCTCTACCGCTCCTGCTCCTGCTGCCACTGCTGGTGCTAGCTGGTGCTACTGCTACTGCCAGTGCTAGCCGCGCTAATCCCTGTCGTTCCCATGAAGAGGAATTTACGTCTCGGTGCGGGATCGACCATACTTAGAATTGTGCCAGAGTCTTCGGCTCAGGGCTTGACATCCTGCGAGGTGTATCCCGGGAGGAGAGTTCTTTAGTGCTACCGAGCACAGGAACAAACCCACCCAATCAACCCAGCCAAAAACCCACCCAGCCAACCACCCAAGAACGACGGAGCGAACGAAATCAATAATTAAGACACGATACTCAACTAAGCAACTAACGAACCGAACGAGCCAACCAGCCAGCGAGAGAGAGAGCGAGAGTGCGAGAGAGAGCGCAGAGCGCCGGTCAGGGGGACTGCCCTTGACTCTAACCTCCAGCAACACAAAGAGAGAACGCAGACAACTCAGAGGCAGCAGTGTTCGGAGCCCCTGTGTGCAGGACCTCAAGCCGGCCTACGCGGCTGTACTTCCAGATCCATTCGCAGCAGGCCTGCGACAAGTTCTACTTGAGCACTGGAAGGTTCTCTTGCCCATACGCTTTCAATCATGTTGAACATGTTGTTGCCATGGCCTTCTGCTTCAGCCGGGTGTGCTGCTCCAGGCAACGCGCATTTGCAGGCGTGAAGATACGGAGGACTACGTAGTGAAGGTGGGCTCGGTGGTTTGAAGCGTCGGGTTCTCTGCTTGCGCTTGTCTAACACCTGCTTCTGCCCGTTACGCCCCAAAGGTAGGCGCGAGAAGGACCGCGATCTCTACTATCACCTCTGCCCTTGTCATCATCATCATCGTCAAACATGAGGCGCATCAGAACGGGCCATTTGGTGTCTGCTGGCTCACGCGACCTAGTCTCCGCTTCAAGCTGGGAAACATTCCGAGAGTAGGCTAAGACAAGCAATGGACTTCTTCCGGGCCTGCTATACATGCAGATACATGCACACACACACACACACACATACATACATACATAGATGCATACATACAGGCATGTTTACCATTTGTGTTGAAGCTATATGTTGAAGGATCTTCGAAGTCGTTCTTGGAGGTTGTTTGGGGTGCCCACGTTTCTCTGTTTGTTCGGAGCTCTCTAGGCTCACTTCTGTGAAGAAGGACTTTGCAAGGTCTCAATATGCAGGATCCAAGTGCTGTTTCTGTGGTCAGTTTGGGGTAGTATTGAGTGTGTTTGGTGGAGAGTGTAGGCGTTTATGCTTTGGGGTTGAATTGGGTCTGCAGTCGAAAGTGCTCGTGGCAGATGGCAACAGGGAGTTGCAACAGGGCCCATGCGAGCTGGGACGGGAAGCCTAAGAACAAGGGAAGGCGACGATTCCTGTAAGACCAGACGCCGGGGTCCCTGAAGACGAGTAGGAGTCCTCAGGGTGAGACCGCTGATTCCCACAAAGGCCTGAGCTCTGAGCCCCAAACGAACTCTGCCCCGACCTCGCTGGTAAGTAACCATAGTTGTGTACTTCTAGCCCCAATTCCTGTAAGGTACATAACCCTAAACCCTAAACCCTAAACCTTAAACCCTAAAGATCATAGAACTTCTGAGTTCCTGAAATTCGCCCGTGCGAGACTTTTCTTCGCCAGGCCTCACAACAGCTCGGACGCAGATGCCAGGCACATCTTTCCCGGAGGGCAGTTGTGAAGCGTTGCCCTGTGAAACTTCAGATTTCCGTGGAACTAAGCCCTAAACCCTTATAGTAGCCCTTATGGAACCCTTTAAAGGAACCCCCAAAACCCCCTAAACCCTCCGGAAATCGTGGAACTAAACCCTAAACCCTAAAAGAGGGCTGCGGGTGCAGCTGTCAAGCTTCCCACTCGAAGCCGATGCCCGGGGCTACTGAGTGAAATCACGCTGCGTACTTGAATCATTCAGTACTCGGCAAATAAAGCCTGATTGGTTTGCTGAAGGCCTTCTTGACACCTGACTTTTTGAAGGTACAAGCGACAGTTTGCATCATGGAATGCTGCAGTTGCTGCGAAGTGGCTTTCATTCGGCAGTGCAGGCATCCTGGTTCAGCCTATGCTGGAACACCCGGGCCGAGAAAACACCTACCACTATTGTGTCACACGATGTGGTGCTTTGAGGCCACCTCTGTGTGCCTGAACGCTGCCAGGTCGATGCCACATTTCTGGCGAGCAACCAAGGCCGTCACCAAGTTGTCGTGTGCATGGGCTTTGTGTGGTTTGGTGTGTAAACTTGACCCCAGTCCAGCTCTTGGCTCAGCTTTACCTACCATCACTTGCCTTCTTCAGCCATTTGCGACGTGCGAGCAGTTTGGCCGCATGCGGTCACACCGTTGATCGAGTACAAGGTGCTTCGCATTTCGGCCAAGCTGGCATCTATGCATGCCCGTGTTAACTGTTAAAGATGCCACAACACATGGGACAGTTCCCGCGTAATTCATCAAATGGGAGCGCTAGCTTGCACAAAGTGTTTGTTGTGCTGTGGGAATGTGTGGATGTTGCTCGTTGGTACCTGACCTTGTTCTTTAGCTGCGACTACAGCTGTGCGAGCAGCTGGTCACACCGTTGGTCGGGTGTGGGGCTGTGCACGGCCTTCCGGCCAACAAGCATGCATGCCAAATGACACTGACTGGCAGATGGGCTGAAGTGCGTGGTGGGGCGATAAGACAGACGGGCTGCCCTGCGCAGGCTGCGTGCTTGACAGCACTGGCCCTTCTCACATGCACATGTAGAAGAGACTGCAAGGTTGGTATCTTGATTGAGCTTACAAGCTGCTGTGAGCACTTACGTGCGCTTCACGAAAGCGCTGGCGAGTGCTCCATGCGCAGATGTATGATGGCCGGCGCAGATGTAGGATGGCCGACACCGCATGGACGCTGTCTTGCGAAAGCGCGGGGCACGCGTCCACTCCTGTTCTTGGTGTGTTGTGCGAACTCACGCTAGCATGCCTGAAAGTGCTTGCATCATGCTAGAATCTTCGAGCGTGAGCCTCGCCAGGCCCTGAACCTCGCAGCTCGCGGGCGGCAGAGGCTGGCTGCGGGCAGTGTTTCAGTAGATGTGGCACAGGTTTTTGTTCACAGTGAGTGCGGTCTGCCTGCAGCAGAGTTTCACGAAGCACGCAGAGCGACGGTCAGTGCTGTAACTGCACCCTGCGAGGTCGAGATGTCGTGCTGGCCGTGGCACATGAAGGCGCGTGGAGAGCGATGTCCTGTGCGCTGGCGAAACGAGCACTCCCAGGCCACGGTGCAAATTTGCCTCATGCTACTGCAACTTAGCACGTGGATGCAGCTTGCTTGTAGTTGCCTTTGTCTTCGAAGTGCGAGCTGTGTAGTCGCCCTACTCAACCATATGCGAGCAGCTTGGCCGCATAAGGTCACACCGTTGGTCGGGTGTGGGGCCGTGCACTGCCTTCTGGCCAACCTGGCATGCAGATCTCACACGTGCCAGATGACACCACGGCAAATGGGCTAAAGCGCGTGGTGGGGCAGTTGGAAGTGCTGGCAGGGTGCGTCCCCTTGACAACGCCGGTCCTTGCCACGTGCACGGGTAGAGGAGACCTGCTGCGCGTCCACTCCTATTCTTGGTGTGTTGTGTCAACTCACGCTAGCAGCAAGCTAAGTGCTTGCACCATGTTAGAATCTTAGAGCGTGAGCCTTGCGAGGTCCCAGTCCTATGATCCTCGCAGCTCGCGGACGGCAGAGGCTGGGTGCGGGCAGCATTGCAGTAGAAGTGGCACAGGTTTTTGTTCACAGTGAGTGCGGTCTGCCTGCAGCAGAGTTTCACGAAGCACGCAGAGCGACGGTCAGTGCTGTAACTGCACCCTGCGAGGTCGAGATGTCGTCCTGGCCGTGGAACATGAAGGCGCGTGGAGAGCGATGTCTTGTGCACTGGCGAACGAGCACTCCCAGGCCACGGTGCAAATTTGCCTCATGCTACTGCAACTTAGCACATGCATGCAGCTTGCTTGTAGCTGACTTTGTCTTCGAAGCGAGTTTCACGAAGCACGCAGAGCGACGGGCAGTGCCCTACTCAACCATGTGCGAGCAGCTTGGCCGCATAAGGTCACACCGTTGGTCGGGTGTGGGGCCGTGCACTGCCTTCTGGCCAACCTGGCATGCAGATCTCACGCATGCCAGATGACACCACGGCAAATGGGCTAAAGCGCGTGGTGGGGCAGTTGGAAGTGCTGGCAGGGTGCGTCCCCTTGACAACGCCGGTCCTTGCCACGTGCACGGGTAGAGGAGACCTGCTGCGCGTCCACTCCTATTCTTGGTGTGTTGTGTCAACTCACGCTAGCAAGCTAAGTGCTTGCACCATGTTAGAATCTTAGAGCGTGAGCCTTGCGAGGTCCCAGTCCTATGAGCCTCGCAGATCGCGGACGGCAGAGGCTGGGTGCGGGCAGCATTGCAGTAGATGTGGCACAGGTTTTTGTTCACAGTGAGTGCGGTCTGCCTGCAGCAGAGTTTCACGAAGCACGCAGAGAGACGGTCGGTGCTGTAACTGCACCCTGCGAGGTCGAGATGTCGTGCTGGCCGTGGCCCATGAAGGCGCGTGGAGAGCGATGTCTTGTGCGCTGGCGAAACCAGCACTCGCAGGTCGCAGTGCAAATTTGCCTCATGCTACTCCAACTTAGCACATGCATGCAGCTTGCTTGTAGCTGACTTTGTTCTTCTGAAGTTGCGAGCCTTGCACTCAGCTTGGCCGCATGCGGTCACACCGTTGGTCGGGTGTGGGGCTGTGCACGGCCTTCCGGCCAACAAGCATGCATGCCAAATGACACTACGGCAGGGCTAAAGTGCGTGGTGGGGCAGTGGGAAAGGCTGCCCGGCGCAGGCTGAGTGCTTGACAGCACTGGCCCGTCTCACGTGCGCAGGGAGAGGAGACCTGATGCACGTCCCTTCCAATGATGGTATTTTGAGTGAACTTACAAACCTTCAATCAAGTGCTTCCGCAGTAGCTTGAAGTGTGCATGCGCGCCGTTTGAGCCTGGCCAGGCGTTGTGATACGATTCTCGCAGTTCGAAGGCGACGGAGGCTGGGTTCTGGAGCACGGTCGCGGCAACAGTAGGGCAATGTCGCAGTTTGCTGTCGTGTCTGCTTGCGTGTTGCTTGCCGGACTCATCACAGCGCAGACGGTCAGTGCTGGAGCTGCGCACGGCGAGGTCGAGTGCTGGGAGCCTGGCAACCGTTTTGCCTACCGGTACATGTGCGAGCAGCTCAGCCGCACACGGTCACGCCGGAGGTCGGGCGTGGGGCTGTGCGCTACCTTCCGGCCAGCCATTACAGGCGTGCATGCCAGATGACATTATACAGACATGATGAGCGTTAAACCTCTGAGTGGGAGGACGTTATATATATATATATGTTTTATATATATATATATGGCTCAGCAATTGCTGCTTGCACGCCACGTGAACTTCAGCGATCTTGATTTCGGTCTGCAGACAACCAACTTCCCAGATGCACGGGTACACATGGAAGAAACCTGATGTCCATCATGCTGACATTTCAGGAGCGACGCCGGCTTTATCGGCGATGCCCAGTCCAGTCCAATAAACACGTGATCTTGCATAATGTGGCCTGGCTAAGTTGTCCTCTGTGCCAGTGCAAGCGTGACTGGCTTGCATGGCTTGCATGTGGAATCTCCGGCTGCATAGTGTCGCGATACCGTATAAGAGCCAAAACGACACCGGCCGTGCTCCAACAGTCTCGATTTCGTCTGCTGGATGCGCACCACATGATGTGGTGAGCTGTCAGCTTAAGCAAACAGTTGCTGGAGCCACTGCGTCAGTTGCCGCTGCATTTCGCAGACACCGTGCATCGGAACAGGACAAGGAAATTCCTTTGGGCAGCCAACTAGATTAACTAGATTTCGATATAGCGCTGATGGCTTGGAGCTTTTGGGAGGTCGGCATCACCTGCCGCCAAAACGCATGCGATGGATTATCCGCTGGTCCCTTTCAACAGGACTAACGGGACCAGGGCAAGCGGCCAGCACTGCCAGCACTCTGCTTAAAGGTTGTGCTTGTTCCATCTGCTTTGGTGCTGCAGCCATAAGTTGCGCAGGGATCCTCATTTCTGGCCGAATGGTCATCTGGGTCTACGACACTACGGGTAAAGCATTGTTGATTGCGACAACTTGTCAACATCGGCCCAGTTCCCAGTCGAAAGGTTCGCTGTGTGTTTGCACGTGATGGCATGCAAAGGTTCACAGGTTTGCGAGGATACTTGTTTTGTTTGAAAGTTTTTTGTAGCAAGGTTTTTGTAATTTTGTGGGCCGACCGGTGCTCAATGTCGCAGTCCACCCCAAAGCAGCACCGCGATCTTCGTCATGATTACCTTGTACCGAGCCTCACAACGTCACCATGTTTGCCATGATGTTCATCAGCATCGCGAACAACATCACCAACACCTTCATCACCATCATCATCATCGTTGCCGTCGTTGGTGTTTCCGTCGTAGTCGTAGTCACCATAATATTTTGTGTACTGTCCGGTTTCCCATTCGTAGTAGCTACCGTCATCGCTTTGTGTCCCACGCGTAGTAGCTACCGTCATCGCTTTGTATACTCTTTCGGTTCACCACCCGCAGCAGACCGAACGCCAGGACAAACCGCTGCTGGTTGCACGACAACTTTGTGTGGAACTGAGCACACCTTTCCTCATTCGTTTGGTCGCGCGGCGCTGCTTAGTTTTTCAGCTGGAGCCGGTGTGTCTGGAATCAGAAATACAACGTTTTTCCGACCGCAAAGCTGAGGCCGCGACTGCCGACGACTGCGCGAACGGAACGGCACTTCTGAGCTCTGAATGCGTTGCCCTGCTCCACTACCATTGTTCGCATTATCTTGCTTATTACACATTGTTTCTGTTGTCGTCATCATGATTTTAAATCGTCTTGTCATCACGATGTGTAGGTTTTGGGGATTGGGCAGGAGGGACAGGGTCCCAGCAGACTTGAATCTGAAGCAAGTCCGTGTCGGCACTTTGGAACAGCACGTCGGAGAAACGGATGAGCCGTTTAGCGATGTCACGATGCTGGGTGTGGCTCCATGGACTCCATGAGCCATGCCTGGGCCCAGTGTCTTTTGCAAATACTCCGGCTGGTAAGAACCCTGCCATCGAAGGAATCACGGCCTGCCGTCAAAATGCGGTTTAGGTTTGTTGCCTGTAGTGATGCACATGCCTTGCCAGAATTGTCTGCCAGGCGATCCGCACAGTCTGCTGGGAATTGTGATTCAGTGTGGAGCTGCGACCGGACGCTATTGGCCCGAGGCACTGTGGCGCACAAGTCGCGCGTGCCTTGCGTTGCTGCTTTCCCGAGCCATCATGCATGTAAATATGACTGCCAACATTGCGGGAATCGGTGGCGGCATGAACTCTAAGGTTGATGGGTGTCAAGAGACCAACGCAATTGCTCCCACATCAAAGCTCCGCCCATGTATCTAACCAATGAACCACGTGCTTCAGCACGAATAGTACTTAGTACAGGTGCTGAACTCTGCATGATGTTATTTTGGCCCTTGCTGGCGACCCTGCTTCCAAGAAGCAGAGGCTGGCGGTGCTGAAGGGCCTTGTCTCTGCAGCGGCAGTTCCGAGAATATCGAACGGTACGGGTGGCACACTTGTTGGCCATTTTCCGCGTTGCTCTTGTGGTTTCCCCAGCCTGTGCGATAAAGCTTTGGGTCACATGATTTGCGGGCGACGGCCTTCACAGAGTCAAAGGGCTGAGGGGTTAAGAGTTGTCATGGTATCCAGCATGAGTTTTACGCACGCGCATTCGTCCTTGCTAAAAATGCCTGTAAGCTGAGTAGAGAAGTGGTTGATCATCATGCAGATAGCGCAGATGAGAGTCACCAGCACCAGAATTACTCGTGCTAAGGGTCACCGAAGTGACAACAATTGGCATCATCATAGAAGCCGGAGCAGCAGTCAGACCAGCCAGACATGGGCAGCAACACGAGCCACAGCATACAACTAGGAATGGGAACCGTATTCGACTCGCTTTGCATTTGTTTTCGCGTTAGGAGCTGCGACGAGTTTCTTCGTGTTTTTTGTGCCCACCATTCCGTCGGGAAGTTCAATTCATAGCAAGAACCTGAGAGGAAGCGTCACTTTCGAGCGCTGATCGGTATGCTTCGGCTTGACTTCACCTGCAGTTTGCAATGTGTGATATGCGACGACGACTGTTGCTAGACTTGCCACGACGGCTCTGAGTTGTGGGACGACTGCTAGGAGGACGAGCCTGTCAAAACCGCCCTAAACCCTAGACCATGGGATCTGCATCCGTTTTTGGAGCCTCGCCCATTTGAAGGCTTCACGTCATGGCAGTCACCGAGCGAGCCCTGGATGTCCGCTGGGGATTATGTTTGGCGTAGGGTCCGAGTCCGATTAAGGATTTGGCCCTAGACCCCCAGGTACCTGTTATATAGGGTACTAGAGCCCCTGGGGCCCTATATAGGCACCTGGAGGGATAGGGTGGTCAGTGTTGCAGCTAACTTTATAGTGTACTGGGTGCCTTGGGTACATGCCTCTCTCTGAGAAGCATGCAACCTTTTGCATCCCAGCATAACCGGAGCAGTATAAGCAGAAGAGCTTGTGCGACTGCCGAAATACGAACATGATGCCAGCAATGGTTTCAGCAGATGTTGGCGAAACAAAACTATCCAGACTAGAAACTTCAGCGAAAGCGTGCTATCATTAACACCAACAACTAACACCACAATGCCAATATGTGCAACACAGCGGCGCTTGTAAGCATGATTAGCAGTAGCAGCAAGTTCCCATCAGAGTAGAAGTTACCGAGAAGAAGGCGCACTGCTTTTCAGGATTGTTGAAGTGCTTCTGCTTCCATCCCAAAGCTGAACTGGTCTCATGGGAATCCCCGACTCGGCTGTATAAGCCTTTGAGTTTCCGTGGGCCTTCGAGCTGTTGCAGCAACTGAGGAGGACTTGCTTAGCGGCGCCACTTTGTCGGATCTATGCCCAGATGGGCACTGCGTGGTCCCTGCTGGCCATACCTGGATTCTGGATCATTCCATCGATGTGGAGATGCCTGGCAAATGGAGTTTGCAAGAAGACACCCGGGCGTGTTCTGCTTAGGTGTAACATATCCAGCTGACGGGCTTCTCTGAGGTTATAGCTCCAGGTCTCACTATTCAATCACCCAGATCCCCTGAAATACAGCACGGATGAATGCAGGACTTGTGCTTACCACTAGCGAGTGCCTCAGGACGCTGACCATCTACGGAACTGTGAAGTGGGACACCTCGAAGGCTCGCTCTGGGAGTTCTACTGCCTTGGAATTGGGAGGAAAATTACGATAATTACGAGCAATGTTTTTCCGATTATGCTGCCTCTCTCTCTCTCTCTGTCTCTCCCCCTCTTTTATTTTACTGTTACTGGTATGTTGTGTGGTGTCATGTTATGTTGTGTTTGGATGCTGTGTTGTGACATGACATGTTATGACATGGAATGTTCTGTTATGTAAGGCATATATTATGTTGTGCTGTGCTGTACTATGACATGATGTGCTATGTGATGCACCGCTATGCAATGTCATGCCACGCTGTGCTACGCTACGCTATGTATGCATGCTATAATATTCTAGATCGTACGTATTGTTTGTGGGTGTGTGTGTTTGTTTGGGCATGCGTGTACGACTGTTACCTTCAGTATTGGTATGCCCAGTGTCTCGGATACTACAATGTCGTCACAAGTATTGCGAGTCGCTGATTCACATTTGTCATTTGGCTTGCTGCATTTTACCGTCGTTACTGTAGCAGAGAGAGGTTTGAAGATGTTTGGTGCTTGTCTTGCTTACCTTCTTGCCAAGTCCGCGCGGCCATTGCTGTCTTCTTTAATTAATTATTGACATCATCATGCCTTGTCGCATGACGACATGTAACTGTAATACTGTATGTACAGACTTCTCTTGACACCATGATGACCAACGGCGACCAGCTATGTTCTGCCTGTAGTGTAATGCAGTCAAAGATGGCTGTCGCCGTTGTTACAGATACTTTGTCTTCTTGTTGTTTAATCTGGCACATACGTCGCTGATGTGCAGTCGGTGCATCCTGAACTCAAAAGCCCCAACGCTCCGACAGCCTTCAGCTCCCCAACAAGGATCCTAGAGGCCAAGACGCCCCCTTCAAATCCAACCACCTTGTGCTTACTGACCCATGAAAAGTGGCAGAAAGAACCTTCAAAAGGGACTGAGCTCCCCAGATCGCTACTTGGAGGATCATGGGACT